AGAAAACCCTACAGAGTCTACCAAAAACTTCTTTGCTCTGGTAAGCAACTTCAGTAAAGTCTTGGTATACAAAATCAATGTGCAAAAATTAGTTTTATTTCTAAACACAACAGGCAGGCTGAGATCCAAATAAAAAACATAACCTCATTTACAATAGCCACACACAAAAATAAAACACCTTGGTATTCATCTAACTAAAGAGGTGAAAGATCTTTACAATGAGAACTACAAAACGCTGCTCAAGGAAATCAAAGATAATACAAACAAATGGCAAAACATTCCATGCTCTTGGTTGGGAAGAATCAATATTGTCAAGATGCCCATGCTATGCAAAGCGATCAGCAGATTCAATGCAATCCCTGTCAAACTACCAGCAACCTTTTTTTTCACAGACCTACGAAAGACAATACTTAAATTAATATGAAAGCAAAAGAGAGATCAAACAGTTAAAGCAATCCTTAGCAAAAAGAACAAAACTAGTGGTATCACATACCACAGACTTCAAACTTTACTGCACGGCTACAGTATTGAAAATAGCATGGTACTGGTACAAAAGTAGATACATCGACCAATAGAACAGGACAGAGAACCCAGAAATAAAACTACATACCTTCAACCAACTCATCTTTGACAAAGCTGACAAAAACAAACATTGGAGAAAGGAAACCCTATTTAGCAAACTATGCTGGGGAAACTGATAACCGCATGCAAAAGAATAAAACCAGACCTCTACCTATCACTATATTAAAAAATTAACTCTAAATGGATCAAAGACTTAAATGAAGCCTCAAACTACAAGAATCTTAAAAGAAAACCTAGGAAACACTCCCTTAAATATCAGCCTTTGCAATGAATTCATGGCCAAGTCCTTAAAAACAAATGCAGCAAAAACCAAAATTGACAGGTGGGAGCTTTTCAAACTCAAAAGTTTTTGTACAGGAAAAGAAACCATCAAGAAAGTAAAGAGACAACCCACAGAGTGGGATAAAATATTTTCAGGCTATGCATCTGACAAAAGCCTAACATCCAGAATCTATAAGGAACTCAAATAAATTGACAGAAAAAAACCCAAACCCCATTAAAAAGTGGACAAAGACATGGACAGATACTTCTCAAAGGAAGACATCCAAACAGCCAACAAACGTGAAAAAATGCTCAGCATCACGAATCATCAGAGAAATGCAAATGAAACCACAATAAGATACCATCTCACACTCCTCAGGATGGCTGTCATTAAAAGGTCAAAAAACAACAGGTGTTGGTGAGGCTGCAGAGGAAAGGGAATGCTTCTACACTGTTGGTGGGAGTGTAAGCTAGTTCAACCTTTGTGGAAAGCAATTTGGAGATTTCTCAAAGAACTAAAAATAGATCTACCATTCAACCCAGCAACCCATCTCCTGGAAATATAACCAGAGGAACACAAATTGTTCTGCCAAAAAGACACCTGCACACATATGTTTATTGCAGCATTATCCACAATAATAAAAACATGGAACTAACCCAGATGCCCATCGGAGGTGGACTGGATAAAGAAAATGTGGTACATATACACTATAGAATACGACACAGCCATAAAGAAAAACAAAACGTTGTCCTTTGCAGTAACATGGATGAAGCTGGAGACCATCATTCTAAATGAATTGTCACAGAAACAAAAAACGGAATGCCACATATTCTCACTCATAAGTGAGCACTAAACATTGGATACATGGGCACAAGGGCAGAAACAACAGATGCTGGGCACTGCTGAAGGAGGAGGAGAGGGAAGGAGGGAGGATAAGGAATACAAAACTATCCATTGGGTACCTTGCCCACCACTTGTGGGATTGGGGAAAGAGCTTACCAGAAGCTCAAATTTTGCCTTCACACAATATACTTATGTAGCAAATTTTCATATGACTCAAAAAAAAGTACCAACCAGGCACAGTGGCTCACACCTGTAATCCCAGCACTTCGGTAGGCTGAGGTGAGAAGATTGCCTGAGTCCATGAGTTCGAGACCAGCCTGGGCAACTTGGTGAGATCTCATCTCTACAAAAAATTAGCCAGGTGTGGTGGCTCATGCCTGTAGTCCCAACTACTTGGAATGCTGAGGTGGAAGGACTGCCTGAGCCCAGCAGGTCGAGGCCGCGGTGGCTGTGAGCATGCCACTGCACTCCAGCCTGGGCGATGGAGTGATAGAGTGAGACACCAATTCAAAAAAGAAAAAAAGTACCAACCAATTCACAGGAGAATAAGAAGTCCTGAGCCAGACTTTATTTTGGGACTGTGTGATATTCCATTTAGAAGCAGCTGCTTTTCTGAATTCACACTTCTTTTTTCTAAACCACTAGCTAACTAACCCAAGTGTACAGACTGTACATATCTTATGCGGTCAAGAAATTGCAGATTTCATGCACGAACAAGAACCAGAGGAAATTTTCAAATGTCTTGCCTTGTAATGTTTCATGTTATAACTTTGAACAATGTCTACTGGGAGCATCTGCCTTTGGTTAAAAATGTGGGGACATTTTAAAGGCAGCAGGGATTTTTTTTTTTTTTTTTTTTGAGTTGGAGTCTCACTCTGTCGCCCAGACTAGAGTGCAGTGGCATGCTCATGGACACCCCAGTGTTGACCTGCTGGGCTCCAGAGATCCTTCCACCTCAGCCTTCCAAATAGCTGGAACTATAGGCACGCCCTACCACACCGTGCTAATTTTTTATTTATTGTAGAGACCAGGTCTTGCCAAATTGAGCGGGCTTGTCTCGAACCCGTGGCCTCAGGCAATCCACTCACTATGGCCTCCCAAGTGCTGGGATTATAGGTTGAGCCACTGAGCCCAGCTGATGTTTTTTACTACATATAAATATCACTATGCATCTGAAGTTGATGAAGTCAATTAAATGCACATCATAGGCAATAGAATAATTTATATTTATCAAGTGCTTTTCTTTTTTTTTTTTTTTTTGAATTGGAGTCTCACCTCTGTCACCCAGACTGGAGTGCAGTGGCCGCCGACCACCACAGCCTCGACCTGCTGGGCTCCGGCGATCCTTCCGCCTCAGCCTTCCAAGTAGCCGGAATTACAGGAATGCGCTACCACGCCCGGCTGATTTTTTGATTTATTGTAGAGATGAAGTCTCACTGCCCAGGCGGGTCTGCGAACCCGCAGGCTCAGGCAATCCACTCACCTCAGCCTCCCAAAGGCGCGGGATTACAGGCTGAGCCACTGAGCCCGGCATCAAGAGCTTTTCAAGTTATAGTCAGTAAACAGAATTTTGTCTCTTAAGAAGGACACAGGTTTTACCACTTAGTAAGTCTTACCACTTAGTAGTTGGGAAACCTCAGGCAAGCCTGCTTAGCCCACTGATGCTCAGTTTTGTTATCTGTGAAATGGAACTATTGTGAAGATTAGAGTGTATTGACAGATATTAAATGCCAAACTTGCCCTCAAGAAATTTTATTTCCTTTCCTCCTCCCTCCTGAAAAATTAAGTATAAGTGACATTTTTTACTGATTGAAACGCATTTTAAATAAACAGGAGTGTAAATATCTCTATAATGACGAATCATTTTAAGCTGGGTGCAGTGGCTCATACCTATAATCCCAGCACTTTGGGAAGTTTAGGCGGAGGATGGCTTGTGGCCAGGAGTTTGAGACCAGCCTGGGTAACAAAGTGAGACCTTGCCCCTACAGATAATAGAAAAATTAGCCAGGTGTGGTGGCACATACCTGTAGTTCCAGCTACTTGAGAGGAGGCAGGAGGACCACTTGAGCCCATAAGTTTGAGGCTGTGGTGAGCTGTGATTATGCCACCGCACTCCGGTCTGGGTGATTGAGACCATGTCAAAAAAAAAAAAAAAATCATTTTGCAGTCTGAATCATAAGCAATTGTCAATATACTGCGATGAAAAGAGCCCAAGGCCAATAATCAGAGTCCTTGACTCTCATCTCCATTCCACCATTCTTAGGTTGAACCATTGAAATAACCATTTTTATAGGTCACAAGTGCTGGAGAAACTATAATATCTCTGAGATTCAATTCTCTTATCTGTTAGGTAAATTTAGATAACTACATTAATTCACTGAGTAGACATTTATATGCCTATTATCTGGCAGGCACTGTTTTAGGAGATGGCAGAAGAGTGAAGAACATGACAATATCTGTTTCCTTGAGTAATATTCAACAGGGAGACCTATGATCAATAAGCAAGCAAACTGAAATAATACAATTTTTTTTAGGCAGGAATACAGTATTCAGTGATTAAGTGATGTCTAAGATTTGCTTCAGCTGGAAAATGATAAAATATCAGGCCATTTTTGGGTAATACATTGTATTTTTGTTCTTACTGAATTCATGTACTACTAGATATACTCATAAATAAATTTGTACTTCTTAAAAATGGAAAGAAGTACTATGATCATAGGAAATCTGGAAGAGAATCTGTAGAAAATTTTGAATAAAAGGATTGAGGGTTCAATAGAGCACACACACTGTCCCCAGAGGGACCAAAGGGGAACAGAAAAGGATCGAGAGGGTCACATGAGGAACTATTTGGCTGCTTGTAACATAGAAATACCAAATAATGAGACTGCAAGAATAAGATTTTGGTTTTCTCATGAATCAGAAATTCAACCCCAGTTGATCCCAGGCTAGTCTGGTACCACAATGCCTCAGTGCAGGTGGTTGTCAACCATCTTTACCACAGATTTTGCTCCTTGTTCTGTGATTTAATGGTTGCAAGATGCAGAGGGAAACACTTCCTGCAACATGGCACCAATGTGTCCAACAGAAAGAGGTAAAGGTTAAAGGGTAACCTGCCAACTTAGTTTGCCTATTTTTGAAGAGTTTTGAAGCCTCGGCCAGCAACTTTCACTTACAAGCTCATTAGCCGGAACTGGACCACCCTGACATTTTCCACTTGCACACATGGCTACCCTAGACAGAATCAAGATTATTTCAATAGAGAGGAGGGTGAGGATGACTACTGGCTAGTGACCCAGCGGTATCTGCCACAGATATGGAGCAGACTTCACTAAGAAACATGTTTCGGAACGTCGGTGAGGCAAACATTTACCAGGAAAACCATTACTAAAAGAATATGTTGACATGAAACTTCTGATATAGCAAATTTTTTTGTTGTTTTCTTGAGTCGGAGTCTCACTCTGTCGCCCAGGCTGGAGTGCAGTGGCATGCTCACGGTCACCACAGACTTGACCTGCTGGGCTCAGATGATCCTTCTGCCTCAGCCTTCCAAGTAGTTGGAGCTACAGGCCTGTGCCACAATGCCCGGCTAATTTTTTGACTTATTGTAGAGATGAGGTCTCGCCAAGTTGCCTGGGCTGGTCTCGAACCCATGAGCTCAGACAGTCCTCTCACCTCGGTCTTCTAAAGTGCTGGAATTTTAGGCATGAGCCATCCTTCCTGACCCACTTTTTATTATTTACTAAGGTAAAGCCCACCTGTAAAACCAACCCCAGGGCTTGATTTGAGTAAACATGGAAACATTACATTTAGTTTAAATGATTTTCTATTTTATTCATTCCACATAAGATTGAAGAATAATTATAAACAAACAAAAACAAAATGATGAAATAAACAGTGAAGGGGCTCGTGTCATAAAACAAGATAAAATAAAATCCAAGGGGAGTGATAGTCATACAAGGATGCATAGGTCCTTAGAATTAAGAGAGGGTTCCACAGGTGTGGCTGTCCCTTACCATTTGGACTCTAGCAAGCCAAATATTTGTTTAAAATCTGGTTTAAATGTTTACCAAAATTCGCTGAATAAAAAGATATTTATAATGCATACACAGGTGTCCACCAAGTAAAGCTTTATGGGTGGGTGAATGCCAAGGGTTCCTGGAGATATCCCTTACCTTGGTGCTCAGAGACACTCTGAAGCAGAAAGTAAGAGGTGCAGGTACACAGGCCCGATGCAAGGTCACCCTGCAGGGTACTGTGGAAGCTGTGGTACTGGACTCTGCAGCAGTGACCAGAGGAGGTGAGAGTGTGAAGGGGTATTCGAGAGGCCATCAGCTCACCACCCAGTCCTTCCAAACCAGTCTTTCTTGGGTCGAAGGTTGACAGTATACTTGTTACCAGTTTCCAGGGAGTTGTTTTTTTTGTTGTTGTTTTAGTCAGAGTCTCACTCTGTTGCCCAGACTAGAGTGCAGAGGCATGCTCACGGCCACTGCAGCCTCAACCTGTTGGACTCAGGTGATACTTCTGCCCCGACCTTCCAAGTATCTGGAACCACAGGCGTGTGCCACCATGCCCAGATAATTTTTGATTTATTGTAGAGATGAGATCTCACCATGTTGCTCAGGCGGGTCTTGAACCCCTGAGCTCAGGTAATCCTCTCACTTCCACCTCCCAAAGTGCTGGGATTACAGGTTTGAGCCACCGTGATCCTTCCACCTCAGCCTTCCAAGTAGCCAGAACTATAGCCGCATGCTATCATGCCCGGCTAATTTTTTTTTGTCTTTTTGTACTTTTATTTATAATCAATATTTTTATTATGATATTGTGGGGTACAGTTAAGGGTTAGGTATACAAATATGCTTCGTTCGGGCACCCTTGTTGATAACAGGTG